CCCTACTTCTTGTTTACCGTGGCACATCTGCCAGGATAAGAGCAGGCTGAGCCAGACCGGGTGCTTGCCTTCTCCAGGCGCTTCCTACAACCTCTGTCAGAGTCCTTGGGAGGGAGAGGAGGGACTCCCAGTCCTGTGGGCAGCAGGGCTGACAGCTCATGTGGCTCCCAATGATAGAAAACAGCATGTGCAAAAGAAAATCTGGGATCCCTTGAAGCTGTTGCATTTTTCAAAAAGTATTTTATGTATAATGAACATTTTTTTAAAGCAAAAAGAGAAAACCTTCCTTATCTAATTCTTCAACTGCCTATGTTTCCCTCTCTCTAATGATTTTACCTAAATTTATAATCTGCACGTTTTCCTTCTGCTGTAAAATAAATTCTATTTGCTGTCGGGTAGCCTCCGAGGTTATTATTTACAGGTTTTTGCAAAGCCGGTACCACAGCTCTCATTTCAGAGTTGCTAGATATCCTAGTTGTTTGTGAGGGTGGAGGCTGTGCTGGGGTCCAGTTCACTGTATCTCTGTGTCCTAGTTACAGACAAGGGACTAAGATAAGAGCCAGGAATGGCAGAGCAGTAACACAGCTAGACCCTAGTGGGAGGGTCTGGGGTTCGAGGCCTTCCCGAGCATGCCAGGCATGCACGCGTGCCCATGGTCTGGGCTGGCTGAAGCTAGGGGTGGACTGCAGAGGGAAGAGCCTGTTGGGTCGGGATGTGTCTGCACACAGGCAAGCATGCTTTCTCTCTCTCTTGCTTTCACAAGAAATAAACTTTAAAATAAAAAAAGACATGGAACTTGAGCCCAGCCCCATAACTTGCTTCCCTCACAGCTGTGTAAGCAATTCTCAGGTAACAGAGGGTTTTCATTCCCCGTTGGTCCCGGGTTTATGTACACATGGGTTATGGGCACAGAAAAAGGAGAGGACGCGAAAGGGACACATATTTTATACACAAGCCAGGTATTCACCATTCCTTCTGTCTACTCCCCGCACCAAGAGAACTTTAACCGGCTAGGCAGCGAAGAGGGGGCAGGAAGCCAAGCTGGGAACTAGTCCCTATGTGATCAGGAAGCTGAGTGACCCACTGCTGGCTGTTTGGATCTGGGACACCAATGTCATGGGCCCAACTCTGCCCTGGCAACTGGGCCCCACCTCAAACTCTCTGGTGTTCAGTTTTTTTCTTGTATAATATTGGGGGTGGTGGGGGAGTGGTTCTTAGGGGAAGACTAGAAAGTCCCTTCAATATCCAAAAAAACAATGATTCCTTTCATGGGGTGGTCCTCAACCTTGAGTGTGTGTCAGATTCCCTGAGGGCTGGTTAAATACATTGCTGGATTTCCCCAAGTGTTGCTGGCTGGGAGCTAGAGATGTACCCTAGTGAGTTCCTAGGGGCTGCTCCTACTGCTGGTTCAGAAGCCAAACTAAGAAGCTTTTGTCTAATGGGTCTTTCTCCATGGTGCCTTGGAAGGCTGATAACTGCACAAGACTTTTCTGTTCTAAAGACCACTTTCTTTTCTAGATTACGCCAACACGACAGAAAAAGAAACCATTCAGTACAGAACAGAGGAGGCCAGTAAAGTGTCCCTCTCAGGTAGGAGGGACAGGACAGTAGAGGGAACCTCTTGCTGAATGGAGGAGAGAGATGGAGGGGCCAAATGGACTTTGTGGTGATGAGGAAGTCTCACCCAATTGTGACGTCAGCCCTGTGAGTCCCATGGCTCCATCCTTCTGGGTCTGGGTACAACTCTGCATACATGACTGCTCTAAGGTTTACATCAGTGGGCCGTGAGAGCAGTTTTAGCAGAACTGAGTCCCCCTCCATACCTGTTGTTTTAGCCCATTTGTGTTGCTATACAGAATACCTAGACTGGGTGGTTTACAAAGAAAACAGGTTTATTTGGCTCAATTTGGTGACTGGAAGACCCGGAAGCATGGAGCTGGCATCTGGTCTACCTCTGATGCTGCATCTCAACATGGCTGACAGAAGCAGAGTGGACACATGCAGAGAGAGAGATACACACACACCTGTGGACAGCCATCGTGCTTATGTAACAACCCAGTCTCGACAATGACAAGTTAGTGAGAACATGTTCCCTTCCCAGAGGCAACATTAGTTATTCATAAATGATCCACCTCCCTCTAGGCTCCATCTCCCAATGCTACCATACTGGATACCAAATTAAATCAAGACACAGCACTCAAACCAAAGCATCTGAGGGAGTCATAGGAATAGCCCCATTCCAGATCTCCCCTCTGCTTCAGGGTGAAGAAGGAGGCAGGGATGATAAATATCTAAATAATCTTAAAGGTGGGTCACTTTGTGTTATAAACATGTGCCTAATATGTAACAGGTATATAAGTAATGCTACCAAGTAAATGGATCAGAAAGTAACTGAACACGAAATGCTAGTCCAATTTTTGGCTTTCTTGATGAATTGGTAAGTTTGTTGTTAGTAGGCAATAAGAAGTGTATATAGTTCACTGTGTTTTCCTCTTTGCTTTGGCAGCTGAGAAATTTTAAATTTAAGTTCTTTTTTCATTGAAATACACGTGGTAGCATGAACCCCCAGGGTAGGGAACAAGAGGGGCAGGCAATTGCAAACTGGAAATTTGAAAGTGTTAATGACTTCTTCTGGGAGCTAAAGCGCAGCACAGAGAAGAGCAGCCAGAGAATGGTTTAGACATTAAGTCCTGGACCTGGTGGTTTGCTTTCTCACTTTCCTTCTGTGTGTCTGTCTTTCTCTGATCAAATTAAGATAAGTGAATGAATAAATAAATTTGAATAAGTAATTTATTTTTTTAAAAAAAGGATGATATGAATGTTCTAAATTGGCCAAGGACACTGCTGGGTGATAAAGCCTGACAGTTAAGGTATACAGATTTGGGGGCCATGGTGGCATGGTTGTGTGACCTTCTTTGCAGGAGAATCCCTATCTATTCACCTACAAGAACGATGGCTACCAGACCAGTCTGTCAAAATTCCAAGCACAGCCTCAGGTAAGGAAAGGTTTTCTGCAGAACAAACATGCAATGAACCAGGGGCCCTGCTCCTTCATGAGTTTTGAAACCTTCCTCATGGTTCTTTATGTCCTGGAATGCATCTGCCCCTGGGCATGCCAGCAGCTGCAGAGAGGATGAAGGCTACCACAAACACCTTAAATTCTTCAGTCAGGACAGGCTGGGGGAGGGCAAAGGACTGAGTGTTGTGGCTGTCCGATTGGTGACTGGAAGCAGATCTCCTTACTGTTAGTAGTTAGAATGGCCTCAGCAATTGATTGTCTTGATGCAAGACAGATTTTTCAGACCCTCTTGACTCTCTGATGGTCTATTTTATTCTTTCTTTTTTTTTTTTTTTTTCATTCATCTAAGCCCTTATCCTGAAGAGAAAGTTAAGGAAAGCCAGAGGAAGGTGGCACTGCTATGATCCTCTGAGCAGAGGGAGTGATATAGTCTTTAGGACACATTTATTGAGCATCTGCTGTGTACTACCAGACTGCAAGCTCAGTGAGGGCAGGGACCCAGAGAAGGTACCCAATAACTACTCATTAAATGAATAAATGGATGGGGTAGACAGATGGATGGGTTGATACCACACAGAGGAGATCAAAACATAAGTCAAATACATTGTCTATCCCAAGGAACTCGGCCTGATAGAGAAAAATTACAGCACAGTGAACTAAGTACTGAATCAAAGTTTTCGTGAAATACTCTAGAAATATGGTGAAGGAGAAACTAACTCAAATAGGAGAGAGTTGAAGGCTTCCCAAAGGGTACCCAGGACCTCAGTGTGGCAGGATGATGAAGGCTAACCAAGGTGGCTGAGAGGGTGGGAAAATGGAAGGAAGTAAATAGGAAAGGGAGAGTAGAGGTTACTGCTTGTGCAAAGGCATGGATGCGTGGGAAAATGCAGAGACTTCCGTCAGGGCTGGTAGTTTAGAACCTTTGGAGGCTCCTGAAGCTATTCTAAGGAGAATGGACCTTAAACTGATGTTTAAGTAGTAGTAATTTAGTAGTAATTTATTTGTTCAACCAACAAATAGCTTTTGAGCGTCTACTCTGCCCAGCACCGTTCTAGTCTCTGGGGACACAATAATAAGCAACACAAACAAAATCTTGCCTTCACTAAGAATTTGAGCAGGGAACATTAGTTATGTTGAGAACAGTCACTCTGATTCAGAAGGCTGGAGAGCCAGCTCACAGAACTGAAGGCCATTTTGCTGGTGAATACTGCAATATTCCTAGCAAAATTATCAAAGGCCTGAATTTTGGGTAAGGTACTGGGGAGGCACTGGAGAGAAACGGGCAGGTTTGGGACCTCTTAGAAAGGATGTTGTGGACAATTGGATATGAGTTTTGAAGGAGAGGAAGAAATCTCTAGAAAGCAAGGTTTTTATCGTAAGTGGTACTTCCCAAAGTAGAGGCCCCACTGCCAATCCAATTTCCTACTTAGCAAGATCCATTTCTTACCATTTCTCTGTGTGTCTCATTTCAGGGACAACTAGGTGCAGAAGTCAGATGTCGTTACAGGGACCCCTCCAATCCGGTTCCCACTTCAGGTATACAGCTTGAATGCAGTGACTTTTAAACACTCTTGGGGCCTGAAATGATAAGATGGCAAGAGCTTTCCATACCATCTGAAATACTCCTGAGAAATTTGTCAAGGATAGTAGAAATAACTCGTTCGCTTGTTTTTTCTCTCTCTCTCTTTCTCTCTCTCTCTCTCTCTCTCTATATATATATATATAATGCCTGTGTTTGAATATTCTTTAAAATTTAACATCATTATCAAAAACTATTTCTTGAACATTAACAGTACGCTAGGACATCTTCTATGAAGAGCCCAGTGTTAGGTGAGTGGATTGATGTCGTAGTCCTTGCCTTGAAGCCTTGACGAGGTGAAATTTTTCTCAAAAAAAAAAAAAAAAAAAAAAAAAAAAACTACTTAGAAGCAGAAAACAAAGATAACCTGTCCACAATCCCTAAGTCACATATAGAATGCACCTTGCTGCCACACCACAGGAGAGCAAGCCCTCTGTCAACCGTGCTATTTTCACTGCCTTTCAGAATTTCTAAAATGTCTGTTGCTGGACCCTGAAAATTAGACTCATCGAGTGTTCTAGGCAGTCATCAGCAACTTCTCTAAGAGGGTCTTCCTAAAGTCTGTTCTTTTCTTCCGAGAGAAGAAGCCCAAAGGTGATAGCCCTATGCATGGGACCTTGAGAAGTCACAGGAGGGCCAAATAGTGACCTTCATGACTCCAACAGCAGCCCACAAGCATCTTCTGCAGCAGCGCCATAGGATCCCATGCTGGGTCCTGCATGGCCACTGTGTGTGTCCATCTCATTGTTCATTGGGTCATTCTTTTGTGAGAGAATTGTTCTGCCATGGACCTTCCATCATTCTCGTTGATCTTTGGCTGCTCATGGCCTCAAGATGATTTTTTGTAAAAATATAGAAAATTAAATTTGGAAATGTTATAATGCCTAGGAGACGTCTTGCAGGGATGCAGATCTTTACCTCCTTGTACTAGTGGAGTAAATAAACACTGTTCAGCCTGCCTTTCACACACAGCTTAGCTAGCACACTCAAATCAGAGGACTGGTGAGTGAGTTAGACATCTCCTTACTAAAACCTTATTCAACTTGCAGAATCGTGGAAGAGGTGATAGAGAGCTTGCCTGTACCTATTTTTTGTCACTCTTGGTGACAACTTATTTCTGATGGTTAGTTTACTAACCAGACTTCAGCAGCGAACATAAATTAGCCTTATTCAGAGGCCCTCCTATAGTAATAAACCTTAACTCAAAGGACCAACAGTTAGCGTAATGGCTATGTCACTGGACTCCCACGTAGTCGACCGCGGTTTGCGTCCTGGACCCGGTGGCTTAAAACTCACACTGGGCGCATGTGCGTGTGTGCCCAAGATCCCGAGAGGAGAATGGAGGAGGAGGGATTGCGGCGTGGCCATCCCCTCTGGGGGGTGATTTCTCGCTTTCTATCTCTCTGTCTGTCTCTGTCTGTCTGGCGAGTGCACACACCCTATAGCAAAAACCTCTCCAAACAAAACAAAACAAAACAAACCTTAACTCAAAGATACAGCTATAGACAAGTGTATATGAGGAGGCTTCAAAAATTGTTTAAAATGTAATTTTAAGATACGACCTTTCTGAAGCTTGCTTGTTTATACAGATTTATGTATGTAGAGACCGAATATGAGTATTTTTTGGGGGTGGAGAGGTTTTTGCTATAGGGCACGTGTGCTCGTGAGAGAGACAGAGAGACAGAAGGTGAGAAATCACCCCCCAGGTGGTATGGCCACGCCGCAATCCCTTCTCCTCCATTCTCCTCTTGGGATCTTGGGCTTGCACACACATGCGCCCAGCGTGAGTTTAAGCCACCAGGTCTGGGACTCAAACTATATGGAGTCCAGTGATGTAGCCATTACGCCAACTGCTGATCCCATAATCTGAATACTTTAATAGCCATATTCTTTATAGTAAAATCATATCCACTTTCTTTTTAATCGTATCATTCTATAAGGATGATATATAAAGCATTTTGCAATCTATCAAGATTGTTTCTGTCATGGCTGTGATAACCAACCATTTCGTTAGAGGACATCTCAACATCTAAAAGTCAGATAAGATATGATCCTCTTCTTTAATCTCTGACTCCCAAGATTATTGTTTATCAGTGCTTGACATGTAAGAATCAAGACCCTTTTTTTTTTTTTTTTGAGAGATTTTTGCTATAGGGTATGTGTGCTTGCTGGAGAGACAGAAAGCAAGAAATCACCCCCCAGGAGGGATGGCGACGCTGTAATCCCTTCTTTTCCCATTCTTCTCTTGGAATCTTGGGCATGCACATGCACCCAGCCTTGAGTTTTAAGCCACAGGGTTTAGGACACAAACCACAGTCAACTACATGGGAAACCAGCAATGCAACTATTACGCCATCTACTGGCCTTGAGATAGCAAGACCTTAAGATCCGAGATACTCCGGAAATGGGAGCTATTTGAAGGACACAATGAATACATTTAGGCTACCCTAATCCAACCTAGGTGCACATGAAACCAAAGCCCTTACTCTTTTCAGCTGAGTCCAACATTCACAGACAGGTATTAAATCTGTACTTGGGAATCCCCCTGGAAAAATGTCATCCAGAGAAATGGCCTCAGCCAACAGGACAGGAATGAAAACACATTTCAACATTGTGCCGTTGATCTGTGACTGAAGATTCTAACCTTATTTGTAACAGATGAGGTAGGCAAAAAGGCACGGCACAGGGTCTTGTTATTATTTTCTTTTGATAATGAGTATGCTTCTGTTCTGTGGAGATCATTGAAGTTTGCCATTTCTAATCAAAATGAAGTCATGTGATACACATCTTTCTGGAGAAGGTTATCTTGTTCTTATACCCCCAATGACTCAGCACCTAGTAGGAACCTTATGATTGTGTGTTGAAATAATATGAATTATTGGGTATTTCTAAATCATCGAATCAACAATTCTCAGTGTTGAGAAAAAATCTTTAGGGAACCAGCAGTTAGCGTAATGGCTATGTCGCTGGACTCCCACGTAGTCGACCGCGATTTGCATCCCGGACCCAGTGGCTTAAAACTCACGCCGGGCGCATGTGCGTGCGTGCCCAAGATCCCGAGAGGAGAATGGAGGAGAAGTGATTGCGGCGTGACCATCCCCCCGGGGGGTGATTTCTTGCTTTCTGTCTCTCTGTCTGTCTCTGTCTGTCTGGCAAACGCACGCGCCCTATAGCGGAAAAAAAAAAAAAAAAAAAAAAAAAAAAACCTCTCCAAAAAAAAAAAAGAAAAAAAAATCTTTAAAATAAATTAGACTAAAGCACCTTAGTCTAATGTTTAGAATGTTTTCTTCAAATTATTTATTTTATTTTATTTATTATTATTGGGCCATCAAAAAGTCATGATGTATTTTTGCATGGAAAAATATAGAAATACACATCATGATTTTTCCAATGACCCAATATTATTGTTTTTAAGTTTGCTGTAGGGTATGTGTGCTCACCAGGGAGAGATGGAGAGGAGGAGGGAAGGGGAGAACGCAAGCCACCAGGTCCGAACTCAATTTGTGGTCGCGCCTTAACCACCATGACACTTGCCTTCCGAATGATTTTTTTTACCAGTACTATCTTATAAAATAATTGTTTTACCTTCAGGTTACTTTTTAAAACATTTTTATAGTCCCCTTTTCTTTTTTTTTAATTGTTTTATTTAGCTTTCTTTATTTACATTTATTTTAATTTGAACAGAGAGGAAGAGAGAGAGAGAGAGAAAGCAATCCACCAGGTCCAGGACTCAAAACTGCAGTTGTCCAGGACTCAAAACTGCAGTTGGCCATGTGGGAGGCCAGCACCCTTATTCACCATGCTACTTGCCAGCCCCACCTGCTACCTGCCAGCCCCTGTAGTCCCCTTTTTTAGAGAACTATATCCGATCCCCAATACATTGATCAATTCACAGTACGTGGATCTAAACATTACCAAAAGTGGTATTTCAAAATAAGATATACTATTACCAACAGACTTGGGCCCCTGCAGTTTAGGGGCTTCGCTCTTAATAGACTCCATACCTCATGGGATATAAACCTCATCCACTGATCTATGGGGCTTTGGGGTAAAATACAGAGAGTTGGTATATATAATTTTTTAATAACCAATTGACATTTGATAGCCAATGAAAATAAAAGCTTGTGGTGTTTACCTTCTCGTCAGTGGACATGTGTAATTTGCTAAGTGCTGTCCTGTGGGCTTTACAACTTCATTAACGCTTGTATCATTTATTACTAGATGATCCTCTCCCTAGCGTAGTTGGGATAACTAAGACAAATACACTGGGCCAAAGAACTGACTTCAGGTTTTCCAGGGAAAGTAGGAGTAGCTTTCTGCAAATAAGAGTGGTAATAAGGAGCTGAAGGAGCTAGGCTTATTGGCTATCATTAAAACTGGCTATCTTAAAGTCAAGCTGCCTGCTGAGCATGTTCAGATTCACTCCCCCAAGACATTTGGATGAATAAGGGATTCCCTGCCCAACAGCGTCCATAATTTAAAATTTTGAGAGCTGTCAAGTCCCTATCACAGAACCACTTAGCCTTTCATTCAACTTAACATGTTTCTTGAGTTCCAATTTTGTGAACACACATTTGTTCGTATAAACTCATACTGGAGACTCTAAAGGCAGAAACAAGGTTCCAGTCTTATGCCAGCAGTTTATCATTGTGGAAGTCTTTACCTAAGTCCTTAAAAAAAAATCAGAAAGCAAATAGATTAGGCAGCCCGAACTGATCATTAAGAGAAAGTTGGTTTTCAGATTATGGCCCTAGGTGGTTTAAATGGTTGGGTTACCCAAGACAAAGCACTCACATGCCAAGCCTTTTTCCTGGGTCTAATTTCTGTGTGTAGTGGGAGCTCTCCTATCCTGAACTCTGGTGTACAGTTTCATTGCTGCTCTATAATAATCCTAATGCTGCATCAGAGCTTGGATAGCTTCTGATAAGAGGCTCTCTCTGTAGAAATCTCTTTGAGTTAATGATGTGTTCACCAGCTCCTATCAAGGTAGTGAACAGTTTGTACCAGATAATGTTTAGCTAATCAGCTCACACAAATTTATTCTTATCTCTAAATAGTCCTTATCCCAAGGAGAGCAGTTGCTAAAGTGTTTTGCTGTATTTCCAGTCTGTGCCTTTGTCGCAGTTGACGACATTAATGAACCTCAAATCAAGGTCTACAGAATATTAGCCAATGAAATGTATTAGCCTCTATCTTAAAGTAAAATCCCAGATAAGTTGACTCCAGCTACCTAGGCTTGCTTTATTTGGTCTATTATCTCTTGCTAAGAATCTTTCAGAATTACCAAACGGAGAACCACCCACCCCCCCAATCAATCAATCAATCATTTATCTACATAGACATATACCCACATAGACATAGATGTATGTGTGTTTCCTTTCTGTCTGCTACAAATTTAAAAATCAGGAGTGGTCGGTTTCAACTGCCTCTTTAGTTAACTGTAAATAATAAGGCTTTGGGAACAAATCTGCCCGTGTCTTCTACATTTTACTAACCCCAAAGATTCCCCCTAACCGTTGCACTAGATAGTGCATTACAGCAGTAAGAATATAGTGATTAGGGCCAGCAGATGGCATGGTAGTTAAGGTGCTGGATTCTCATAGACCAATCACGGTTTGAGTCCAGGACCTGGAGGCTTTAAAATCATGCTGGGAGCGTGTGCTCCTGTGCCCAGAATCCCAACAGGAAAATGAAGGAGAAGGGATTGTGCCATGGCCATCCCCCCTAGGGGGTGATTTCTCATTTTCTCTCACTGGCAAGCACACGTCCATGGCCATCAAAACCTAAAAGAAAAAAGAAAAAAAAGAAAAGAGCTAAAATAAACAAACCCCTTCCGAGTTGAGAGGAGGGAGTCTTATTTTCCATTTTGTTGCCTTTTTTACCCATAGCCTGATTTCTTTGAAAGAGGTCATTTTAAAGTTCTCCAGCTCCACCCCACAGACGTGTGCTAATGTGTGCAGCTGGCTTTGTGATTTGATATTGTTTTTCTAACCACAGAGTAGAGCTGCAGAAGGCTGGGAAGGGCCACACAGGCTGTAATCATGTGGAAGGGATGTGTGCGTGGGCGTGTGTGTAACGGGGGATTCAAAGCATGGCCATGAGGGAGGAGGCAGAACTCTGAAGAGAGACACTCAGTGGCTCTTGAATCGAATAAGCAGAGCTGCAAACCTGCTATCAGGCTTTGCATTGGCAGCGACAGTTGTGTGAGCCAAGAGGCAGGAGAAATGACTCTGGTCTCTTGATCTTCATGTGCAAAAACTGAACACTGTTAACAGCTTCGTAAATAAGAAAGTGTCTTTATCAGTGGTCCTCAAAATGTGGTGTCTGGACCAGGCTGGCAGCATCAGCACTACCTGCAAATCTTTGGGCCCACCCTAGACCAATTGAATCAGAAGCTCTGAGGGTGGGGACCATCTGTGTTTTAAAGAGTTCTCTAGTGCTTCTGATGCAGGCGCAAGATGAAGGGACCACTAGTCTATATGTGTTACACATATGAGTTCACAGCTATGTTTATGTTCATTTGCACACCGTCACAGGAAGAGGCAGGGTCTTTTGTTTGCCCAGTGATGCCATACCTTCAGTGGGAGTGGCAGTGCCCTGTCTACAGACAGTCTGGGTAGACAAGATGACTCTGTAGGAGAGAAGACCTGGAGATCCCTCTAAAAGTCCTTTCTATTGAGTGGAAGCCTCCTCCACAGCTCTGCATACAGATGTCATTATTGCAACCCTAATTTGGATGTGGATGGGTGCTGTGGGTTATAGGTAGTCCAGGTCTTGTCCTCTGTTCCACTACAGGTTTTATAGACTGTTTTGGCAAAGATGGTCAGGAAAACCTCCCACAGGAAACTTTCAGTTTTTCCATTTTAATCAATGGTCCACTGAAATAATGGGCTGCTTCTCCTGGGATAGGTTCGTCCCTGTGCAAACACTGTATTAGGCTTCTTCCAAGCCACACGAGCTAGTTGAACAACTTAGTGCAGCATCGCACACCAGAGACAATGAAAGGTACATCTGAGAGCAAAGATGAATCTGTAGCAAAGTCGGGGGACCTTGGGGGAATAGGAAGTGAGCTTGTGACTTAAGGGACTGAGCTATAGACAGTATAAAAATTCTAGTTGTGGGGGCCAGCAGTTAGCGTAATGGCTATGTCGCTGGACTCCCATGTAGTCGACCGCGGTTGGCGTCCTGGACCTGGTGGCTTAAAACTCACACTGGGCGCGTGTGTTTGCATACCCAGGATCCCAAGAAGAGAATGGAGGAGAAGGGATTGCAGTGTGCCCATCCCCCCTGGGGGGTGATTTCTCGCTTTCTGTCTCTCTGTCTCTCTCTGTCTGGCGAGCACACGCGGCCTGTAGCAAAAACCTCTCAAAAAAAAAAAAAATTCTAGTTTTAGACCCCCAAATGCACTCGGACTCACATTCATAACATAAGGTAAAGGGTTAGATAGCTACAGTACTGGTACGTATGGGTAAGTCATTACGTATCTAGCAATGTTCATGTTAATCCCCTAATCCATCAGCCAGTCCTGGAAGACCTGTGGCCCTCAACTACCTTTCCAGTGTTACTTTTTGTTAGTCTCTTGTATAAACTCTCCACTTAGCCAAAATGTTTGAGTAGCTGTGCCTTATAGACATCACATGCTTTACTGAACCACTTCTGTGCTTTATGCTTTTCCCTCCATCGTCCCTCCTCACTCTCCCTCATCCTCATCTCACTGTTTCCTGGGGCTTAATTCAAATACTACCTCCTCCATGAAGCCTGCTTGGACTCCCCTTGTCCCTGCACTGCTTCCCTCAGGGGGAGATGGTCCCTCCAGCACTAGAACTTCGTGTCTCTTAATACCTCTTATTGTGTTTATCAGTCTATAAATTATTATAAGAATGGATTGCTCTAATTTTTCCTTTTTCTGTGACTTCTTGGGGCCCTTCTCCACTTCTAAACACTATGTAGTCCCCAGAACATTTGGCCACTGGTTGGTGTTCAATACATTTGTCACATGAATAAATATTATTATCTGCTTGGGGACCAGCAGTTAGTGTAATGGCTATATCGCTGGACTCCCATGTAGTCGACCGCAGTTCAAGTCCCGGACCCAGTGGCTTAAACTCACGCCGGGCGCATGTGCATGCGTGCCCAAGATCCCGAGAGGAGAACAGAGGAGAAGGGATTGCAGCGTGGCTATCTCCCCTGGGGGGTGATTTCTCACTTTCTGTCTCTCTGTCTCTCTCTGTCTTTCTGGCAAGCGCACGTACCCTGTAGCAAAAAATCTCTCAAAAAACAAAAATCTGCTTAGCCACATCACAGTATATGCTTACACTCAAGAGATCAAACAAACAAACAAAAACATAGTCATGCTGTGGAAAACAATGTGGGAGTTCCTTAAAAAGTTAAACATGATATTCTCTGCCAGTCCCACGCCAAATTATTACAAGTAGGCATTCAAACAAACACTTGTACATAAATGCTCTTACTGCCATTCACAAAGGCCAAAGGTTGGCAACAACCCAGATGCCCTTCAATGGATAAGCAGACAAACAGAACGTGGTATATCCCTACAATGAATTACTATTTGGTTGCAAAATGGAACAAAGTACGACGCATGCTTTAACATAGCTGAACCTTAGAAACATTACGCAGAGTAAAAGAAGCCGGACACGGAAGGTCACTTATCATCTCCTGTTTATATGAACGATTCTGAAGAGCTCAATTCATAGGGACAGAAAGCAGATTATTGGTTGCCATGGACTGGGGGGAGGGAGAGGCCTCTGTTTAACTTGATAGAGGTGACTGTTGCTCACCTTGGTGAATGGACTGAATGCCCCTGAATAGTTCACTTTACAATGTTAACGTGTGCTATATATTTTTTACATCAATTAAAAAATATATAAAACTTCTCTTTTCACTTTGATGAAATCGCGCTGATCTTTTTTATTATGACATACTATTTCATCCTAGAAATCATCAGATCCTAGGAGAGATAAAGTCCTGCTTGCATTGCCTCCACAGTTCTCTGCTTACTCCCAAACCGCCTTGCCAGGGATCTGCCGAGGCCTGCCTGTGGCATCAGGTCTCACCAGACGTGATCGAACAGTGGCCCTCTTAACGCAGGAGCCACCCATCAGCTCCTGATCCCTGTGTCCGGGTGCCCCAGAGAAGAGATCAGCCGTCAGACTCCTTGGCTAGTGGTGCTGAGCCTTACTGATAAGGATAGGCTTCTCATATCTTTTACCCAATGTGCTTTGCTGTTAAAAAGTGACGTTCTCTGGGACCAGCAGTTGGCGTAATGGCTATGTCAATGGACTCCCATGTAGTCGACCGTGGTTCAAGTCCCAGACCTGGTGGCTTAAACTCACGCTGGTTGTGTGTGCATGCATGCACAACATCCCGAGAGGGGAATGGAGGAGAAGGGATTCTGCGGCCATCTCCCCTGGGGGGTGATTTCTCGCTTTCTGTCTCTCTGTCTCTCTCTGCCTTCCTGGCAAGCACACGCACCCTATGGCAAAAACCTCTAAAAAAAAAGAAAAAGAAAAAAAGAAAAAGACGTTCTCTTGGTTTTCCAGAAGCTATCGTTTGTTTTGTGGGGCTCTAGGTCTGGCGCTTTCCTAGGATCCCCACTTCGGCTCACTCCTGCTTGTGTTCTCAGTTCACAGGCTGAGGCCCGCCGACATCAAGGTCATTGGAGCCTTGGGCGATTCTATCACAGTGAGTTACCCTGATTGTAGGAGGCTGCAGCAGGGGGAGAGAAGATCTGGATTAAATGGGACCTGGAGGGGAACTGGAAGCTGAACGTCTCACCCCTAGCTCTTAACTGTTGCCTTCTTGGGTCCTAATCACTTTCTTCCCCTTCGTTCCACCTGCTCACTCAGGCACCCAGTGTTCCCACCATTGTGTTTTCCTCCTTCCGTCCAAGCCCATCCATTCCTTTCTGGTTACTGAAATGAAGGAGAGAGTGGGAAGTGGAGGGGCCCAGAGGGAGCCCATCAATGTGGGGGGAGGTTGTCCAGACTCCCAAGCATGATGTAGAACTCCTTCAAGGCCCCAGTGCTGTGTTTACACAGGTAGGAAAGGTAGCAAGGAGAGGGGGAAGAAGATTACACGGGGACAGAAAAACACGCTCATGGCGGTGACGGGGGTGTGGGGATGTGTGTGTGAGAAAACAGGAGTCAGCAGGAGAGGCGAAGGCACCCACGATGATCCAAACCCCGCCTGCAGCTGCCCCACCATGAGACCCCAGGCCCCACAAAGAACTCTCCATGGAAAGCAGAATCAAGCCCTTCGAAAGCCTGGGTAGGAGGGTCCCAGCGGGTCCCAGACTCAAGCTTCCATTCAGTAGCCATCATTACAGAGTCCAGCTGCTGTTCTCTGGGCCAGCTGAATCTCTCCCAGTGAATCCTTCTTCTTTTTTTTTTTTAATTTTTAAATTTATTCATTCATTTATTTTAATTTGACCAGAGTGAGACAGAGAGAGAGAGGGAGAGAAAGTGGGAAAGCAAGCCACCAGGTCTAGGACTTGAACCATGATTGGCCATGTGGGAGTGTCCAGCACCTTAACCACCACGCCACTTGCTGGTCCCCTCCCAGTGAATCCTTCTCAAGGACCAGCTGGCACCTTTCACGCCTGTGGCCTGTTCACAGTGACACCGTTTCAATCATCTCACAACCAAATCCTGTGACATACAATTTTCCTTAAATTCAGCCTATAAAGCCAGTGAAGCTGGACCAGGTGGAGGAGGTGTGCAAGGCCACACATCTTGTCAGGGCCGGAACTAGAGATTCTGGCCCTAAGTCCAGGACCCGATCCAACCCTGTCCTCAAGCACCCTCCTCCCTGACCCCTCAGGGACTTTTCATCCCAAAGGCATTTTGCTCAAACCTTCTGGGAAGGACAGGCAGGCCGGTCCTTAGCACCTTTGTACACCACTTATCCCAAGCACTTCCTGCCCAGTGAGACCTGATACCACCTCCTGGCAACCCCCTGAGCTTCTTAAAGACGCTTTCAGGAGAAAGAGTTGTCAAGAATCAGCACAAGCCGCTCAGGACTTCCTGGGGAGGCCGTGCGTGTGACAGACCCAGCAGGTAGCAAAAGAATTGGGCACCATCGAATAGAGCGCACACTTTAGGAGGCTGAGGTGGGGGGTAGCCTCCCACACTGTGGCCTGGGAGGCCGGTCTTCAGCAGCGCTTGTCTTGGCCACCACAGATTAAGCAGGACAGGTAGAGATCTATGTTTCTGGCTGTCAGTCTTGCACGACTCTAACCAAAAGAATGCAAGTGTATAAATAAAAACACGCATACGTTTGGAGAAATCATGTAGCATAGCTTCAAAGGCATTCTCCCTTTATTCTAATTCAGCTAAGAAAAACTGCTTCCCTGAAGAGCGCCTCTTTCACCAATCCAATCGTAAATATCACTTTCTGAAGACGCCCATGGGAACCAGCATTCTATTTTTGGAGGGAAAAAGGTTGTGAAGTAAAATAAACGATACAAAAGAATTCTACTAAACAATGCCAATTATTCATTATTTTCTGATGCCCTTGAATAACAACCAGTTATAAATCAGTGTATTTTCTTAAACTGAAAGAATATTTACATACTAAATATAAGTAGCAATTTACTACCGCATAGTGATGTTCTTAAAATATTTTTAATCCTGAATTCTAAAAACAGATTCCTATTTTTTCAGTCTAGCTAGAGATAAATGTCAATTCGATTACATTAAAAACAGTTCCCTGCAGGAAGAGACAGAAGACTTCTCCACTTATGCTTTTTTTTTTTTAATTTTTAAATTTATTCATTCATTTATTTTAATTTGACCAGAGTGAGACAGAGAGAGAGAGGGAGAGAAAGTGGGAAAGCAAGCCACCAGGTCTAGGACTTGAACCATGATTGGCCATGTGGGAGTGTCCAGCACCTTAACCACCACGCCACTTGCTGGTCCCCTCCCAGTGAATCCTTCTCAAGGACCAGCTGGCACCTTTCACGCCTGTGGCCTGTTCACAGTGACACCGTTTCAATCATCTCACAACCAAATCCTGTGACATACAATTTTCCTTAAATTCAGCCTATAAAGCCAGTGAAGCTGGACCAGGTGGAGGAGGTGTGCAAGGCCACACATCTTGTCAGGGCCGGAACTAGAGATTCTGGCCCTAAGTCCAGGACCCGATCCAACCCTGTCCTCAAGCACCCTCCTCCCTGACCCCTCAGGGACTTTTCATCCCAAAGGCATTTTGCTCAAACCTTCTGGGAAGGACAGGCAGGCCGGTCCTTAGCACCTTTGTACACCACTTATCCCAAGCACTTCCTGCCCAGTGAGACCTGATACCACCTCCTGGCAACCCCCTGAGCTTCTTAAAGACGCTTTCAGGAGAAAGAGTTGTCAAGAATCAGCACAAGCCGCTCAGGACTTCCTGGGGAGGCCGTGCGTGTGACAGACCCAGCAGGTAGCAAAAGAATTGGGCACCATCGAATAGAGCGCACACTTTAGGAGGCTGAGGTGGGGGGTAGCCTCCCACACTGTGGCCTGGGAGGCCGGTCTTCAGCAGGCCTCTGGAGTCTCTGCCCAGAAACAACATGCTGAAAGCAGGGGGGCGTGCCTCTGTAGGGTGTGTCTGCACTGTGGTTGTAAAAGACCCCGTCCCAGCCCAACTGCCACAGCACATGCTGATAAGCGCTGCTGCTGGGAGCCTGAGGCCACATGAGAGGCCTGGGTTTGATTCTCAGCCTACTCTTTAAAAAAAAAAAAAAATGCTGGGCTCAGTGACGTGTGCTTGTGGTCCCAGCCACTCTGCTGGCTGAGGCAGGAGGACTGCAATCAAGAGAGATCCTGTCAAAAGACACACGCACACTCTGAAAAAGCATAAAAACCCTCTCTCTTCAGCTGAGGGGTGGGTAGATGGCTTTGAGGTTATTACTACTAAACTGCATAGGTGAGACAGAGCAATATAAAAGGTTGATGATACATTTCCTTTTATGAAAGAATGACCTTTCAAAGTGAGGGCAGCACAGGCCAGTCCTATAGCAGAGCAGTTAGGTGCTGTGCAGAGAAAGCCGGATCACGCGTGGCTGACCAGGCTTCCAGTTCCAGCCTCTTTGACTTGAAAAACATGCTGGACTCCCATTGCCCAGGATCCTGGTGGGACGGAGAGTTGGGGGGACAGGGGTTGTGGTGTGACCAGGCTCCATCAGGTTCCCTCTTTCTCTCTCACACATTTTTCTGGTATTAAAAGAAAATACAACCCTGAAGAGAGAGAAAATACAACCCTGAAGTATGTCCTTTTGAAAAGCGGTCTATTTTCCACGTACTGCTGCTGGGCACGTCTCACCTGCTCTTGGTCCCCGCTGAGTTCCTTGGAAGGAAGCATGGCTGTGGCCAGTATCAGTAGTGCCAACTGGAGCACTCGCTCAGCCCTGAAGTGTCAGGGCGCATGTCCACATGTGCAGCCCTCTAGAGTGCAGATTCTCCAGAGCACGTAGGCAGTCCTGGCCAGGACAGGAACACAGCCCTTCTCTTAGGTGGGCAGCAGTGCACCATGAGGAAAAGTGGGGAAACTCACCCTCTGTTCCCTCTCAGGCAGCTTTGGGAGCTCGGGCCAGGCGCATAGAAGAAATCCTCGTCCAAAGAACTGAGTTCCGAGGCGTGTCCTGGAGGTGAGTGAGGGAGGGGCAGGCCCTGAAGACCCTTCATTGCAGAGCAGGGTAAGAGGCAGAACATTCTAGAAAACAATGCCTCAAGCAGAGGGTCGGGCTGCCTAGTCTTCTCCACAACAAACTGCTGGGTTTAACTTGAGAAAGGTATTTATCAGCTTCTTCAACAACTGCATTCCCCAGAACAGAAGCTGAGACCTGAGCGAGGAGGCCTTTGAGGGAGAAAGTGCAGATGGGTTTGGTTGGCACTGCTCCCGGGCCTTCCACTTCTCCCTCAGTGATGTAATCGCGGGAGCCAGTGGCCTGAGTCATGGGTACATCAAAGCCTTTGGAACCAGATTTGTATTTGAGTCTCAGCTGTGTGACTTGGGCACATGACTTAACCTCATTTGATGCGGGGATACTTCTACTATCTGAGCACCTTCCAAGGATTGGGAAGCATTTCAGTGCTGGGCACAGTGCCTGACACAAAGTGAGGGTAAATGGCAGTTGGCATCATTATTAATGTGCTTTATTTTACAGATGAGAAAGCAAGACTCAGAGAGGGCAGGAAGCTTCCTTCCCCTAATCCGGGATGCTCTCCAGGGCAAGCATGCATTGTTTTATCCAGGCATAGTCCGGCTCTGCCTGGTACCAAGCCCCAGCCACAGGCCACAGGCCATGCTGAGCGGGACTCCCACTTCGCTTCAGGCTTTGAAAGGCTGGCTGGGGAGGCTGCATTCTTTTCTGAGCCTGGTGTCTGGTCTTTCCAGCTGATACTAGCCTTACCCAAGGGCTGAACCCCTGGCATCCTCATATTGCTTCACAGAGTAAAAGCCCAAACATTCTGAGATCTTATTAGATGTTCTCAAATGTTCTTGGCAAGAGTGAAGGGATATGGAAAAAGCAATAATCCAGTCAGCTCTGGAATACCGCATGTATTCATGCCTAGAAATGCATCTCACCCACTTCATCAGAAGTTAGGACTGGCTTGGAAGATTGTTTCCTCTCTAGAAGATTTTTGCTATAGGGTGTGTACACTTGCCAGAAGAGAGAAAGAGACAGAAAGTGAGAAATCGCTCCCAAGAAGGAATGACCACGTTGCAATCCCTTCTCCTCCATTCTCCTCTCAGAATCTTGGGCATACAGCGCCCGCACCCGCTCTGAGTTTTAAGTTGTGAATCCGGGACTCAAGCTGTGGTTGACTACATGGGAGCCCAGCAATGTAACCATTACGCCATCTGCTGGTTGCTAGAAGACACCCTTTTAAAAATGGCTTTCCCAGACCTTTCCCCATGCATCTGGATGCGTAGTCTTGGGCAGGTTGCTTGTCCTCTCTGAGCCTTGCTTTCTCCTCTGCAGAAGGCAGTCCTTTCATAATCATGCCGGCTACCATCTATTCCTATTTTGCATCAGGCACTCATGCTGGGCATTTAAATTTGTCTCCCTAGAGCAAATTAGGACAGTTGTTTTGTTCTTACTGTGTTTTCTCTAATAATATAAATACACTGCTGCAGTGACTGGTTGGGACAAGGGACCTGTTCCCTTTGGATGGCAGGGATGCAAGGGTGCAGCTTAGGTCCCCTGCCTGGTGTCAGAGCTCCAAGTTAGAAACCAGAAACTCAGCTCACTTGGTGACTGTTGACACCCATTTTATTTATTTATTTATTTATTTTTGTCTGGATTTTTTAATATGCAGAAAGAGCAGGAGGAATTCCAGTCTTCCCATTGCCCAGGATCCTGGTGGGACGGAGAGTTGGGGGGACAGGGGTTGTGGTGTGACCAGGCTCCATCAGGTTCCCTCTTTCTCTCTCACACATTTTTCTGGTATTAAAAGAAAATACAACCCTGAAGAGAGAGAAAATACAACCCTGAAGTATGTCCTTTTGAAAAGCGGTCTATTTTCCACGTACTGCTGCTGGGCACGTCTCACCTGCTCTTGGTCCCCGCTGAGTTCCTTGGAAGGAAGCATGGCTGTGGCCAGTATCAGTAGTGCCAACTGGAGCACTCGCTCAGCCCTGAAGTGTCAGGGCGCATGTCCACATGTGCAGCCCTCTAGAGTGCAGATTCTCCAGAGCACGTAGGCAGTCCTGGCCAGGACAGGAACACAGCCCTTCTCTTAGGTGGGCAGCAGTGCACCATGAGGAAAAGTGGGGAAACTCACCCTCTGTTCCCTCTCAGGCAGCTTTGGGAGCTCGGGCCAGGCGCATAGAAGAAATCCTCGTCCAAAGAACTGAGTTCCGAGGCGTGTCCTGGAGGTGAGTGAGGGAGGGGCAGGCCCTGAAGACCCTTCATTGCAGAGCAGGGTAAGAGGCAGAACATTCTAGAAAACAATGCCTCAAGCAGAGGGTCGGGCTGCCTAGTCTTCTCCACAACAAACTGCTGGGTTTAACTTGAGAAAGGTATTTATCAGCTTCTTCAACAACTGCATTCCCCAGAACAGAAGCTGAGACCTGAGCGAGGAGGCCTTTGAGGGAGAAAGTGCAGATGGGTTTGGTTGGCACTGCTCCCGGGCCTTCCACTTCTCCCTCAGTGATGTAATCGCGGGAGCCAGTGGCCTGAGTCATGGGTACATCAAAGCCTTTGGAACCAGATTTGTATTTGAGTCTCAGCTGTGTGACTTGGGCACATGACTTAACCTCATTTGATGCGGGGATACTTCTACTATCTGAGCACCTTCCAAGGATTGGGAAGCATTTCAGTGCTGGGCACAGTGCCTGACACAAAGTGAGGGTAAATGGCAGTTGGCATCATTATTAATGTGCTTTATTTTACAGATGAGAAAGCAAGACTCAGAGAGGGCAGGAAGCTTCCTTCCCCTAATCCGGGATGCTCTCCAGGGCAAGCATGCATTGTTTTATCCAGGCATAGTCCGGCTCTGCCTGGTACCAAGCCCCAGCCACAGGCCACAGGCCATGCTGAGCGGGACTCCCACTTCGCTTCAGGCTTTGAAAGGCTGGCTGGGGAGGCTGCATTCTTTTCTGAGCCTGGTGTCTGGTCTTTCCAGCTGATACTAGCCTTACCCAAGGGCTGAACCCCTGGCATCCTCATATTGCTTCACAGAGTAAAAGCCCAAACATTCTGAGATCTTATTAGATGTTCTCAAATGTTCTTGGCAAGAGTGAAGGGATATGGAAAAAGCAATAATCCAGTCAGCTCTGGAATACCGCATGTATTCATGCCTAGAAATGCATCTCACCCACTTCATCAGAAGTTAGGACTGGCTTGGAAGATTGTTTCCTCTCTAGAAGATTTTTGCTATAGGGTGTGTACACTTGCCAGAAGAGAGAAAGAGACAGAAAGTGAGAAATCGCTCCCAAGAAGGAATGACCACGTTGCAATCCCTTCTCCTCCATTCTCCTCTCAGAATCTTGGGCATACAGCGCCCGCACCCGCTCTGAGTTTTAAGTTGTGAATCCGGGACTCAAGCTGTGGTTGACTACATGGGAGCCCAGCAATGTAACCATTACGCCATCTGCTGGTTGCTAGAAGACACCCTTTTAAAAATGGCTTTCCCAGACCTTTCCCCATGCATCTGGATGCGTAGTCTTGGGCAGGTTGCTTGTCCTCTCTGAGCCTTGCTTTCTCCTCTGCAGAAGGCAGTCCTTTCATAATCATGCCGGCTACCATCTATTCCTATTTTGCATCAGGCACTCATGCTGGGCATTTAAATTTGTCTCCCTAGAGCAAATTAGGACAGTTGTTTTGTTCTTACTGTGTTTTCTCTAATAATATAAATACACTGCTGCAGTGACTGGTTGGGACAAGGGACCTGTTCCCTTTGGATGGCAGGGATGCAAGGGTGCAGCTTAGGTCCCCTGCCTGGTGTCAGAGCTCCAAGTTAGAAACCAGAAACTCAGCTCACTTGGTGACTGTTGACACCCATTTTATTTATTTATTTATTTATTTTTGTCTGGATTTTTTAATATGCAGAAAGAGCAGGAGGAATTCCAGTCTGGGTTGATTTTTTTTACTTTTTGACTGAGATTCAAAGGAAGAGACAATCTCCACGTCTCGCCCCGGGGTTGTTTCTCGGCAGAAGAAAGGCCTTTCTAGGTAATGCCTGAAGTGTTTGAGCATCACAGTCATTTTAAACCTTTTTTTCTTTTTCGGTTCTCACAAAACAGTGCGGGTGGAGACGAAACCGTGCATAATACAGTCACCCTGCCCAGTGAGTACACCTGATCCTGGGTGGTTTGGGTCCTGGGGATTAGAGGGGGAGGGATCTATGCTCCTGCGTGCCTCAGCTGCGCCCCCTGGAGGTGCCCGCGGCTTTGAGATGGAGAGTCACCTGTGTTCAATAGAGGGCGCTGCTTCCCGGCGCTGCTTCCCAGCGCTGCAGCCTGGCTCAGTCACCTGAGAGTAATACAACCCAAGGAGTTGGAAGTTGCTTTTTGGTTCATTTAATTTTGTTTTGTTTTAAAGAGAAACGGCCTTTGTCCAAGGAAGGGAGTAAGAGAGAAAAGCAGAGCTCAGGCCAAATCGTAGCGTAAATCACAACCAAGTGAAGGTAACCCAGGTCTACTTGCCTATTCTGAGCAGAGCACCTAGGTATCTGTACCTGGCTCGCCCAGGCACCACCGTGCACGGGCGACCAACGCCACTTTAAGAACAGTTGCTATTGCATCAGGATGAGATGCAGTTCCCTTGTTCAGGCTCTGCAAACAGCCATGTTTAGGGGCAACATTTTCCTGAATTACTTCAACAACAACTTGCTTGGGATGATTCTTTAAAGTCTGATTACAGTCTCCAAAGGGCCTGGTCTTAGTCATCTTTTCACTTTCTTTGGTATATGCACATCCCAGGGCTTGTTCTTAAAAACATGTGTGCAATGAATATCTAAATTGAGCTCTTCCCCCTTAAAATATTGTGGCTGATAATTTTCCTGAGAGGAATTTAATTGGTTCGAGTTTTAGTTACTTTCCTAATACATATCTCTTTGCAATTCATCTTCAGAAGCTAAGAAATATTTGAACTTTAAGTCACCATGATTTATTTTTTAAGAGAGATTTTAAGCTATAGGGTGTGTGTGCTCACCAGAACAAGACAGAGAGAGACTGAAAGTGAGAAATCACCCCCTTGGGGGTTGGCCATGCTGCAATCCCTTCTCCTCCATTCTCCTCTTGCAATTTTGGGCATGTATGCAAAGTGTGAGATTTAAGCCACCAGGTCCAAGACTTGAACCATGGCTGACTACACGGGACTCCAGCAACATAACCATTCCACCATCTGCTGGTTCCAGTCACCAGGATTTTGATAATAGGGACTGCTTAACCTCCACATCGCCAGGGCCAATCAGACCTCACATTTGTTATCTGCTTTGGTTATTTGTAAATGTTGGTGAATTTAAGTAGGTACAGTTCTGTGCCACAAGTATTTTGTGTCTTCTTTATTTCTATGTCTACACATAAGCGCTATAAATAAGTCCCCTTATTGCTAGGAGATGGCTTGGAAGGCGTTTGTGAGTGTAACTTGGCTGTGACATGGCACTGCAGATACCACAGTGTGGGGCGCTCTAAATTCCCAGGCTATTCATGCTGTTATCACAGAGAACATGACTAGAAATGATCAAACTCTTTAATGTAACTCATTGAATGAGTTACAGTGGATTGAGACAATGTCACCCCTCAGTGACAAGGCCACCTCAAGTGGACTCCCCTGACATACTTAGCCGAGGCATAGAACATTGGCTGTTTAGACTCTTTCTTGCTAGAGATGTGAAGGCAACTCGTCATAGGGGCTGGATAATCCAGGGGGAAATACCTATATGTATGTATAAGAAATGTGTTAGAAAACATATGAGGATGTGGGCCAGTTAGTATAGTGGTTAAGGTGCTGGATCCCTCATGATTAACTGTGCAGTTCAAGTTCTGGACCTGGTGGCTTGAAAAAATGCAGTAGGTGCTTTGTGCATGTGTACGTGTTTTATTCTTAATTCAGGTCATAAGTATTTATTTAGCAGTATGTGAGGCTCTGGGTATATATAGATCCAGCTCTCAGAAGTTTTTAAACAAGCTGGGGATATGGAAAAATAAAAAGTCAAAAATTCTTTATTGGGACCAGCAGTTAGCATAATGGCTATGTCACAGGACTCCCACGTAGTCAACTGCAGTTAGAGTCCCGGACCCGGTGGCTTAAACTCACACCGGGCATGTGTGTGTGTGCCCAAGATCCCGAGAGGAGAATGGAGGAGAAGGGATTGCAGCGTGGCCATCCACCCTGGGTGATTTCTTGCTTTCTGTCTCTCTGTCTCTGTCTATCTGGTGAGTGCATGTGCCCTATAGCAAAAATCTCTCCATAAAAAGAGAGAAAAAGTTAGGTGTACATCCAGTATGATAAGGGCATTGAAATGTATGAGATTGAAAATATCAATGAAACTGATCCTTCAACTAGGCTGACTAGGGGAGGGAGGGAAGGCTCAAGATCAAAAATGAAAGAGGGAGACTCTGCCATCCTTACAGAAATAAAAAGGATTAGAAGGCAATGTTATGAACATGTGGCATGTGTATACCAGTCTATTAGATCATTGAAAGGAAATGAACAAATTACCCGAAAGACACTACTGAAACGAACTCAGTAAGATCTAGAAATCTGAATAGATTTAACAAGCAGAGACCAAGTTGGTAATTTGAAAACCCCAGCAATCACACACACACACACACACACACACACGAATGAATAAACCCAGGCTTTTCTGGATTTCCTGGTAAATTCTAGTAAATTCTATTAAACTTTAGTACCAAGTAGCAATTCTTTTCGAAGTATTTCTAAATATAGAAGAAGAGGTGGTACTTCCCAACTCAGTGTGTGAGTTTTCCCCTGATACCAAAATAAGACAAACACATCACAACAAAAGAAGACTACCGATCAATATCTCTTATGAATACAGGCAGAGAAGTCTTCAACAAAGTACTAGCAAATAAAATCCAATCATATAGAAAAAGGATTATATCCTTTGGTCAAGTAGGATTTAGCTCAGAAATACAAGGTTAGTTCTAAACCCCCAAATCAAGTAATGTAATATTCCAAGTCAGTATAACAGGAAAAAAAATATATATGATCATCTCAGTGGATCAGAAAAAGCATTTTAGAACATCAAATGCCTCTTTATGATAAAAAAAACACCAACAAACTTGGAATAGAAGAAGATTCCTCAAACTGATAAAGATATTCATGAAAAGTCCACAGCTCACATCATACTTAGTGGTGAAAGATACAATGCTGCCCCCCCACCCCCCAAGATCAGGAACAAGACAAGGATGCATGAGCTTGTCATTTTTACTCAAGATTATACTGGGGGTCCTAGTCATGGCAGTTAGGCAAGAAAATGAAAGAAAAATCCACACAAAAACCTGTACACAAATGTCCATAGCAGCATTGTTCACAAAAGCCAAAAAGTGGAGACAATTCCAATGCCCATCAACCACAGTGAATGAATAAAATGCAGCGGATCCATAAAATGCAATGTTATTCGGCAATAAAAAGGAATGAAATACTAATACAACATGGATGAGTGTTGAAAACATCATGCTAAGTGAAAAAGAAAAAAGCCAGTCTCAAAAGATATGACTTCACTTATACGAAATGTCCAGAACAAACAAATCTACTGACACCAAGTACACTAGTGGTTTGAGGGAATCTGGAGTGATTGCTAATAGGTAAAGGGTTTCTTTTGGGGGTCATGAAAATGTTCTGTAGTTGACTGTGGTGACAGTTGTATGTATAACTATGAAGATAGAAAAAGCTATTGAACTGGTAAATTTGAATTGGTAAATTTTATGGTAAATGAATTCTATCTCAATCAAGTGATGAAATATTTAGGGAAGAAATACATGAGAAAAGCACCTCCCCTAGACCCTCTTTTATTCAACAATAATTGAATAAGCACCTATGGTGTGCTGCCATGTGGTTGAGCATCAGCCTGCGGAACATTTATTTCCGTGCCTCGTGAGTAGTGAGGATAAGACTAAAGACTGTGGGGTAAGGGCTCTGCTTTGCCCCTGACACCTCTGGTACTTATCTAAGGGACCTGGTGATTGTTTGAGGGTCATTACTAAGTATGTCTCTTCCCTGTGTTTCCAGATATTCTCCGGGAATTCTCCCATAACCTGAGGGGCTTCTCTACCGGTACAGGCAATGAACGGAGTGCTAATGCCGCCTTCAACCAGGCCAAGTCTGGAGACAAAGCTGGGTGAGCAGGGGCATCCTGGGATTGAATGACACGTGCACTCTGAGGACTTGGAGGGGGCTCAGTTGGCCTAAACTGGGGTTTAGGGCTGAAGAGTTGTTGGGGGGAGGCTTGGTCCACATTCTGAGGCTCAAAGACTGTACAGGGATCTCTCGGGGAGAGAGGTCAGACACAGTCATCTGCCAGCCTTCCCCCAATTCCATCCCAGGAACTAGTCCCAGTCAACTCTGATGCCAGATGACTTTGCTTCCTTGTAAAGCTCATGTCCACACAGACAGTGGTTGGGGGAGGGCTCTCTCTGAGTCCTGGTTGTCACCGTGCTGTTATGTTTAGAGTCCTGCTCTCCCTCCTTTCCTCAGACATGCTCTTTGGGCAGGTTATACAGCTTTAGACTCTGTATTCTTCCTGTGAGATGGGGAGGGTGCCAGCCCCAGGTAGGGAGACCCTGAGTCTGTGTCCCAGCTTCCTCTCTGGCCTCTCTCAGACTCTGAGATGAGACAGGCCATGAACCTCTCTCACAGGGCAGTTGTGAGGTACTATTGCCATCTTGGGTGTGAAAGTTCTAGAGAGCTGTGAATAGTGTAGACTTTCTGAGTCAGCATGGTGGTCCCAGCAAGAATATTGAAGGGCTGCAGGGCCCAGCTGGGGAAAACAGCACAGAGCTTGCTATGTCATGGTCCTTTGACCTGGCTGGCTGGTCCCATACTACCACTGCCACCAGCACCGGGTCTGCATTTCTGGGTCCTAGAGTTCTGCTGAACTCCAGGACTCAAGAGCCTTGTGTGCTACTTGGGGCTTGCTGCCTGGTCAGAGAACAAGTGAACACCACACCCAACTGGTATGCATAAGCGTATCGATTTGTCTACAGGGTCTGTCCTTGTGCCCTGCAGGCTTATTCTAGTTCCAATCATAACCCTTATATTCATCCAGCAGTGTACGATTTACAAAGCACCTCTATGTTTACCATCCCTTGGGTCCTGCACAATTATCTGTGAGAAGAACAAAGCAGGGAGTTGAATTCCCATGTTTTACTAATGAAAGACCTGAAGTTCAGACAGGCAAATAATCATCTCCAAATCCTGGCCCATAGCCACAGCAGCCACCCTTAACTTCACATGAGGAAATAGAGGCTCAAAAAGATGAAGCGACTTACCCAAAGTCCTCACCAAAGTCATCTGAAACCTATTGTCCTGTTATCTGTACTAACTGGCCAAGATCAGGCCAGTTGGCTGGTTGTTGAGAGGGGAAGAAGGGGACAACTAACATTTCCTGCTCTAGGCATTGTGCCAGGGACTACATTGATAGTGATGGTGGTGGCATTAGTAGGAACACTTCCGTGGATGCTTGCCAGGTGCCACACACTGTTCTAAGTTCTTTAGATGGCTCCTTATTTTTTCCACCAGCTCTGTGAAGAGTCTATGCTTGCCATCTCTATTTCACAGAGGGAAAAACTGAGGGTATCAGAGCTGGCAGTACTGGGGCTCAAACCCATGCTGTTTGGCACTAGCAATGGCCTCTACTCCCCACAGCTGCTTTGCTCCTCTCCTTGGCTGCTCCTGGTTACCCTCTAAGAGGTGTTTTTCTCCATTTTGTAGTCTTTTAAAACTAGGATTTAAGTCCGTTTTCTGCCATTAGCAATAGGCAACTAAATGTCCAGCTCAAGTGCACCTGACTCAATCATACCATGCTGAGATCATGTCACCTGCCCAAATGGGGACATCCTGAGCCATGCATGACATGAAATATTCACATGCAGGCCTTCTGTTTGCACAAAGCTGCTGTGAAGAGAAAGTGAAGCAGACTGTAAGACACTGATCAGAAAATAGTCACACAGAGGGTCACCGTCTTCCCGAGCACTGTCACTACCCAATCCCCACCCCCAGTGGAGGCTGAATGGGGAAGGAGCTCCGTGTCATGGACTTCAGGCCCATTTTCCTGCAGGAGACTCACCCTGGCCCTCCTCCCTATGGATTTGATTTCTTCTCTCTCTGCTCTATTTCCCTTCCTGCCTCAACCTCTCATTCTCTGCTCCTCATACAACCTCCTCTGTGTGTCCCCTCAGGAATTTACTCACCCAGGCCGGGAGCCTACTAAATCTATTGAGGACTGATCAGGTGAGCCTGGGAAAGTCAGGGAGGAACTTCCCTGGATGGGAAGTGGGCAAGAGAAACCCAGCCACCCAGAGAAGGTCGTGAGGTTAGAGATAGATGGGAGCCAGGCAGATTTCTCACAGCCATACCTGAAGCTTGAAACTCTGCTCCCATTCATCTGTTCATTTGTCCAGCCAGCTGCCCAGATTAAACATTTATCATGGGTAAGGCACTGAAAACGGGCTGGGGGTTCACAGAAGAATACAACACCATCCTGTCCCCATAGAGCTTATTACTGGAGGCCAATGTGAAGAGTCAGAATTACACAACAGTACACATACACGTAAGAAGAAGGCTATATATTGGGTTGTTGGAAAAGTCATGACATATTTTTCCTGTGTCTTTCAAAGATCATTTATTTATATAAAGAACAAATATCAATCAATGACATATTGCCCATTTCGTTTGATAACATTTTGCCCACTCTCTGTGCACGCCACAATTCCTCGTTCATACTGTCTTTGTCGGAAAAACAAAAACAAGGTGCTGATTTACAGCCCATCTGAGTTGAATGTTATACCACACAAAAAGTTTTTAAGAGAGAGCAACAAGTGCAAGTCTGACAGTACAAGGTCAGGCGAATGTGGTGGGTGTGGCAACACATCCGTCCAAGCTCCAATAATTTTTGACAGGTGATCAGACTTGTGTGTGGTCTTGCATTGTTGTGATGGAACACAACTCCTTTACAATCAATGAGCTCTGGATGGTTCTGGGTGATGGTTTCATTCAACCTGTCCAATGGCTGACAGTACACATTCAAATGGATTGTTTTGTTCCTTGGTACGAGCTCAAAAACCACGGCACCTTTAAAATCCCATCACACTGAGAGCATAACCTTCCTCTGACGAAGGTCTGCTTTTGATGTCATTTGAGACAAATCATCACATCAGGACCAAGACCGTTTGTGCACCACATTGTTAGAAACAATCTACTTCTCATCGCCAGTTATCAGTTGCTTTAAGAAAGGATCATTTTCTTCACATTTAATGAACGTATTGCAGATGTTTATACATGCCATTAAATGAACTTCTTTGAGTTCATAGGAACCCCAATATCAAGCTAGCTTATGTATCCCAGCGTCTTTCAATGATCATGAACACTTGAATGATGGGTGATCAATGTTTCTGCAATCTCTTGTCATGTAGCATGGGTCTGACTCAAACAATGCCTTTATTTTGTCATCAACCCCAGTGGGCCTCCCTGACCAAGGAGCGTCATTGAGGAATTTCGTGGAACATCCTCGGCACTGACGTTCTTGCAGGGCATTGTCACCCTAAACTGTACACAACTTTTTTTTTTTTTTGGAGAGGTTTTTCGCTATAGGGCGCATGCGCTCACCAGACAGACAGAGAGAGACATAGAGACAGAAAGTGAGATATCACCCCCCAGGGGGGATGGCCACGCCGCAATCCCTTCTCCTCCATTCTCCTCTCGGGATCTTGGGCACACACACACACGCGCGCGGCATGAGTTTTAAGCCACCGGGTCCGGGACACGAACTGCGATTGACTACGTGGGAGTCCAGTGACATAGCCATTACGCTAACTGCTGGTTCCCAACTGTATGCAACTTTTCACAAGCTTGACATGTGTTCTTCCCTTTACAGAAGTAAAACAGTAAAATATGGTGAAAATGCACAGCTTGGTCTTCCATCATCAGCATGTTGTAAAATCCCCAAATTTAACCAAATCATTCATCTTTTTTTTGAAAGAAGCTAGAACTGTCAGCTGTCAAATGACATTGCAATAATAATAGACTCAAATGACTCTAGTACGTCCAAAAATGAACTAGCGCCACCTGTTGCAAAAATGTGTCATGACTTTTCTGACAACCCAATAGAAGGTGGAATAGGTGTGCAGAAGAGAGGACACGTCTCTCTGCTTGGGAAAGCCAGAGAGGGTTTCTGAGTCTAACAGATGAACATACGAGCTTCTCCCTCCACTGGAAGCAGGCTTCTCAATTCAGGCTTTTTTTGGAGCTATTCCCAGGTGGATAAAATAGTTAACGAGAGGGACTGGAATTATTTTTTTATATAGTTGAGTAGACTTGAGTCTGTTTATTATAGGGAAGTTTTCAGGGTATGTCTACCGTTAATATCAAACTCTTCCAATTTTTTTTCGTCATCTGTCTCCTTCCACCTGCTTGCAGGCCTAGGTCAGAGAAGCAGAGCTTGGGACCATGTCAAAGGCAATGAGGGTCACAGCTGCCCTCAGACCTGCGTGGAATGTGCATGGCCACACCTCTTTCACCCAGCCCTGTAACTTAAAATACTCCTCTGGGTCCCTCTTGGAGGAGGCAATCCTCATGGTAACAAGTCTTTTCAAAATACGTTCTTAGAGCTGCCACCTTGCTCCAACTAGTTTTTCCAGCTGGACTTATTCATGGGCAGCTTTAACCAGTGTGAGTGATCTGAGTTTGGAGAGCTCCCTCTTAACGAAAGATGGTCCTTTCTCCCTTTAGGAAAAACTGGAATCCTAGAACACACATTCCTTTCCCATGGCCAGGACTAGCTTCCCTAACCCCCACCCACTTCCTTGCTCTACTGGAGATCAATGCAGCTCAGAAGGCATCTATACCCACTCCCACCAAGACCGCTAGTGGAAACCATGTTATGTGATATCATATGATATTGTGTATGGACAGACCACGTGGAAATTCAGTGACTTCCCCCAAAATAAATGAGCCAGTTAGCACCCATGATCTGTAATCTCAGCACCTCCAAACCAAAGGAGAGAAAATATGCAGGTCCATTAAACACTCTGGTTTGTGAGGATCCATCTCTTCAAGTGTTTAGTGCCTTATATTTTCCTTGCCTGGACTCTGGAGCAAGACCCTTACATGTTCGTTTCCTATTCATTTCAGAGGATAAACTTTCGGAATGACTGGAAGATAATAACTGTATTTATAGGGGGCAATGACCTCTGTAATTTCTGTACCAACAAGGTAGGTCTCTAGCCCTTCCCTCAAGACTCACTCTCGAGGGAGTATTTCAGGAGCACAGCCTTGGCTGCTGGAACAGAGCAGCTAAATCTGAACACAGGCCGATGGTCTGCTTGGATTAACTCTGAGATGTAGAAAGCATTCACCTCCAGGGAGAGATTCAACAGGATCCGTGGGATTGGCCATAAGATTGAGGCCGAGGAAGTTCCCTGTGAGGAAGCCTGCACATGTCATTCTAGAAAATAACATTCTGATGATTTAGAGAATTCTCGCCTGTCTTCATAGTTGGTAAGTCAGCTCCTTCCTCCAGTAGTCGGAGCTTTGCCTTCTCTGCCTCTGTGCCATCCCTTGTATGGAGAAAGTTCATTTCCTGTGAAGGCCTCCAGGTGAGGTTCAGAGCCAAGTCGTTCTGGGCTGATGGGAAACCCAGGATCAAGGCTGCTGCACTGTGGGGAGGGCACCTCTTTCTGGAACCCCAGTCTCTGAGCTGAAAGAAACCCCTCAGGCCATACTGACCGGCCTCCCGCCCACACCTATACCTGGCTCTGTGCTAGCAGTTCAGTAGGAAGGACCAAAACACAGGGTCTGTCCTAAAAAATTTACACTGCCAAGTGAGGGAGACCTGGACTACCCAACACAACATGAGAAAGACACCCCAATGGGCTTCTTGGGACTCACACAGAAGGGGAATTTAGAATCTCAGTTGCTGGGGGAACTTGGTGTGTTGGGCGAGGGGTTGTCATCAGAAAGGTTTACACAGAGCAAGAGACTTCCAGCTGGGACCTGCAGATGAATGCATGTGTCAGGCAGAAGGGGACCAGTGGAACAAGTTTTAGGAAGTGGTGATCTTGCTGTAGCCTAGAAGCACCTGCCCAGAGAGATGAGCCTGTCCCCTACACATAAAAAAATAAATAAATCCTCATAAAAACCACAAATACCAAGATCAGGAGAAATGTTAGTTAAAATGCATTTACGCTAGGGGTGGAGGGCTGTTTCACAAGACCCTCTTCTTGTCCCATTGTCTGGGGCTCCCATCAGAAGAGGTCAGGCTACAGGACCAGAGTGTTCAAGGTGCAGAAAACATTTGAGGGCCTGTGCTCCAGTATACCAGCTTGAGAAGGACTCAGAGCTTTCCAAACTCCATGCAAAGAAAGAGCATTTCCCTGAAGAAATGTCACAGCCATGACAAGTCTGGGAACTACGGGATGCTGTTGTAGCTGAGGTTCCCAAAGACTATATTTTAATATTGCCCACTCTGACTGATGAATAACAAGAAGGGGACCCAAGAGAGAAAGTACCCCAGTCTGAGAGAGATAGGGGTGATGAATGGGATTCAAGAGCTACTTCCTCTTCCTGCAGGGTACTTACTCTGCTGAGAACTACTCAGAGGCCATCAAGAATGCTCTGGACTTCCTTCAGAGAGAGGTATGGAGGCTGAGCCGTACAGCCCTGGGCAGCTCCACCACAGTCTTGGTCTTGGCCCTCAGCTCTAGGCTAGAGGCAACTCTGGCTTCC